TATTCGTACAGCGACAAATGGAGAAGGAAGAAGAGGAGAAGCAACAGAAGAAGGAAGCTGATGAAAGGAAAAAGAAAGCGGAGGAAGAAAGAGCCACGAGGGAAGAAGCGAATAGAATAGCCTTGGAGAGAAAGAAGGCGAAAGATCTTAAGGAGGCGAAAAGGAACTGGGAATTCGAGAAAATGCTCGCTAAACAGAAATTGGCAATAGAGGAAGAATTTGAGCGGAGATTAGAGAGTAGACTGAAGGGGGTAATGATCACTGAGAAGATCGTGAAAGCGAAGATGAAGCAGAAAACACCATCACCTGCTAACTCGGACTCTAAAGAAGAAGAGGAAGCACTGCATGATGAGAGATTTGATAAACGAAAAAGACAGGCTGGCCAAACTTCGGGTGGACAAATTAGCCCTGCTGGAACACCTGCAAAAATTGGTCGACAAGAAGCTAATGAGGAACTGCCACCAAGAACCATGGAGGAATGCGACCTGGGTGAAATACTTAGAGGAAGAGGACGCGTCAGAAAGGAAGGGAATGGGTTCCCTATCCATGATTCTGCCCTGTGGGAAGGCGCTCCACTTGATGTGGATAGCAAGACAGAAGCGGCCTTTAAGAAGCAAGTACGGAAGTTTCTGACGAAGAAAAGCGTACCTACWATCCAAGAGATGTGTAGGGAAGCAGGCATGGCTTACCGAGGAAGRCCCGAAGCTATGGACGAACTCGTTGAGCTCCGTACGATGTACTTCTACAGGAAGCCCCGCACACCACGCCAAGGAGGGATCGTGATCCGTGAACCATCAACCGCAATACGAGCTCCGAGAACACCCTCGACCCAGATTGACCATCTGAATCCGTYAGAAGACTGATATATTTGGAATGATCTTAGGCACTACCTCCACGTACGCCACGAGCTTACCGGTAGAAACGATGCACAAACTAAAYGAATTAGATTATTAATTGAGAGGATTCTTAGACTCTGCAWTGTTATTCTTGCTTGTCAAGGGGAATTAAACTGGGGAAATAAATTCATTGATAGTTGGGTTCACCTTATTACGAACGAAAGGGATAAATGGGAAAACYCGACCTCTTGTGTATATGTTCTCCTTGACCCCGGATGTCGTGCCTCGTATATTGGACAGACATCCAGACCCCTTTTTGAAAGATGGAGTGAACATAAATATCGTTCCTCAAACCCCTCTTCTGCTAATAATTCACGACTTTATAGTTGGTTTCGTAACTGGGGGATTAAAAATTATATTGCCGTACCTATCGCTTTCGTCCCGACTCATGATCTTATCAGCGTGGAGAAAGTCCTGATTAAAAGATGGTCTCCGTCACTCAACTCTGCCTATCGAAAGAATACCTCCTGTAAGAAGAATCGAAAAGGCAGAAAAGAACGCAAACGAGCTAGATGCCATCAATTCCCTAACGAGCGGCCTATAATTTTTAAGACAGAAAATTTAGAATCCGTTAATTTGATAAAAATATGKAAAGCTGCTAAGGTTGGAAATAGAATTCTCTCATCTTCTGGTGGCAGAATCTGGGTACCGGAATGGGGAACAATCCTTCGAGAGATTGGACTTAGCACGTTTTCGGTCAATAACTCAGCCACACCTCTGACGAACATAAAAGAAAAATTGGAACAAGGAGGGAATTTTACTATCCTCCAGTTAAAGGGCGGAACACTGGCGAAACGTAATAAAGAATTAAAAAGTTATCTCTTTAAATTACTAAAAAACCCTTGGGCTAAAAAGAAGCTATGCCGACTGTCAAAGGATGAGCTCCTAGAACTGTTTTTGGCAACAAACCTTTTTAGCAAGGAAATCTGTCGCGGATTGCTGAGAGATGTGATA